CCCCCCCCCCCCCCCCCCCAGTTCAAACAATTATTTAGCAACGCTCGAAATGAGTATAGAAACGTATTGCAGGTCTTCATACGAAGGTCCGTTATTGCTGTCAGATTTTAACCAGAACTTGAACGTGTCGCCAAATTCTATTAAAACTCTCCATTACCCAAAAACCAAATTTAATATAAATACGTTTGGCCGTTCTTGACTTTAACATGCAGACATATGGACAGGTCAACAAGGACAGCGAAGATATTAGGACCTTTTTTAAATTTGTCATTGCGAATGCGCGAAAAATAGAAGTTAGGAACATATAACGCTACAACAAACACAGCGTGTTTAAAAACAGAGCAGAGACACAATTGAAGATACAAGAAAATTTAAGATAAAACAACAAGCAACTTTACACTTAAAAAGGAAAATTAAAAAAAAAAACGTTAACAAGAAACGAAACTGCATTCAGACACCATAAACACAACTCCTATTTTAAATACACATAACTCACAAACTGCCATTTATAATTTAAACTTTACGAATTAAACAGAACACAAGATGTGTAACAATAGAAATTCTTTTACTGCCACCCTAAATTATGTTTTTTGTTATAGTCATTTAACTCTTGGTGGTAGCTGTTTGTATAACTTGCTTTAGTAAAACCACATTTTTACGCACAGGCTAGCAATTGGTGTGTGAAGCTTACGCTTGTTTGTTCCTAGCTTTGGCTGGAATCTCTTAATTTCGGTGTAACAGTGCTGTGATATGAAGCATAAATGACAATCAAATCCTGCTCACAAGCAAATAGTAGTAGTGGGGAACTTATGAAAATATTTATAAAATAACGAGTGTAGAAAATTGCATGATTGGAAGCTCCGTAATTTGTATTATTTATCAGAAAATATTAGGATGATAAAATCAAGAAGGAAGAAAATGGAGGGGCATGAAACATGTATGAAGGAATTGAGAAATGCGTACATAATTTTAGCTGAAAACCCTCAAGGAAAGGCAAGACCTACGCGTAGATAGATCGTATTGAAAGGTTGGAGGGTGTGAACTCGATTAATCTGGATCAGGATAGGAACTAGGACGATAAATCGCCCTGATGACGGAGGCAGTATGCCCTCTGAAACGTTGGTTAACATCGACCAGACTACACAGCGCAACAACCCAGAAGACGGAAATCTTCATACTCTGATGACGGAGGCAGTATGCCCTCTGAAACGTTGGTTAACATCGACCAGACTACACAGCGCAACAACCCAGAAGACGGAAATCTTCATACTCTGATGACGGAGGCAGTATGCCCTCTGAAACGTTGGTTAACATCGACCAGACTACACAGCGCAACAACCCAGAAGACGGAAATCTTCATACTCACCGCTGTGAAAACCTCAGATCTTACATAGCTGTGCGATCTTCATCTATTTTAAAAGTCTAAAATAATTAATATAAAATTCCTGAGTCACATACCACAAAATACTAAAATGAAATAGAGGCAAGATGTAACAAAATATATTCCACGTTTCATCTTCTGAAGACGCGTAAAACAAGAAACGAATAAGATCCGCTATTTTTATATCAAACTGGCGTCAGAATTCTTTGATACTTTGACTCTCCTCGTAACATTGAAATAACAGCGGACATACAAAAACGCGGTAGTGAAAGCGCGTCGCTTGTGTTTCGTTTGCATTCAAATGGAATGATATGTTAAATATTCGAAGTCATTTGTAGATAAATGGTCTGTTGTAAATTTAGTTTCATGGTCAGAGCTACAAATATTTCGTTGTGTCTGATTCGTTACAACAACAAATAAATAAGCATGCGTATAACACATGACGGAACACCAGTTTGAACTATTCCTCTGTAGCTACAACTTATCTCAAACATGACCCCAATTATCAAAGAGTTCAAAATCTCTACTCATGCACTTTGCGTTATGTAGATAGATTAGAACACTCTGTGGCTTGCTTGTTCTCATAAGTTTGTTCAAAATGTCATTTTGTTAACATCGTTTATTAACACATGTCCACAAGTTCTAAAAGAAATTCAAATTTATCCATCAATCCCTGTTCATGGTAATGTGTTTAAAAATATGTAGGATTTGAGGTTTTCACGGCGGTGAGTTTGAAGATTTCTGTCTTCTGTGTTGTTGCGCCGTGTAGTCCGGTAGAAGTTTACCAACGTTTCAGAGGTCCTTGCTGCCTCCATCGCTATCTTCTGTTTAAAAATATACAACGAAGACATTTACATAAAGTTTCCAGTGCATTCTGTAGGCCTATATGGAAAACCATTTGTGTCCATACGCTTCGTCCATCATTATCCTCTGAAGCCACGTAAATACATTTCACATCACTGTATCTGCTAATCGGTTAACTCAAATAACTCAACGGTATAGGGACTAGGTTACTGGCTATATGACCGTGGTTAGAATCCCGACAGAAGAATGTATTCTTCTCTTCGTCAACGCGTTTAGATGAAATCTGCGGCCTACCCAGCTTCTCGTCCGATGGATGGGTGTTCCACCGGAAATAAAGTAGCCAGTGCGTGAATCTAACCACTCACCTTTATCTAGTGCCTAGCTCAAAAATATGTGGAGATGATCTCCACTTTCTCGTACGTCTACATGACAAGGTGCTTAATTAAGCACATGGGTACTTCACATTTACAACCAGCTTCTATTAGGCAGATTTCTCTCTCCCTTCTTCTCCTTGGTCTTTAAAATGATCTTGTTACAAGACGATTTCTCAACTTCTTTTATATTTGATCCCCCGCCCGCGATTCTGGAACTAGTTTATCGTAACATTCTTGGTTAAGATAGTTACACTAACAACGCCAGAAGACAAATTTTCATACATATTACGAAGTCACTGTTCAGGGCTACGCATATAATACTCTCCGTTCCCTATCATTTTAAATTTCTCTTAAAAAATTTGGAGTGCGCGATCAGCAGAAAATCGAACAAAAATGCAAATCTCCATAACAAGTATTTGCAGTTATCTCTGTGGAGAAAACGACGTTTCCATAGCTGGCTGGAGTCAGGACAACACAATTATGCTTGCAGGTTACAATCAACAGAGTGTATACACATGAAACATTGCAAACATAATATTCTTATTACCATATCAAACATGGCTTGACAGTTGGTGCTATTATAATAGCTGTATAGGCCTACCTTTCCCGGGGGTAAAGCCGGCCGGGGCGTGATGCTGACCACTCACCCCCATCTAGTGCCGAGGTCAAGGAAGAGAGGAGCTATACCTCCACTCCCCCCAAGCGCCTACATGGCGTATAGTGGGACAAACTTTACTTAACTTTACTTAGTACGAAGTGAGGAAGGAAATTTGCAAAATCAAACTTACATTGACACGTAACTTCAGTGATTACATATTAAAAATATGAATGATTTATACAAGGCAACTGACTTTAGTTTACATTACCACGGTCAGAAAGCCTGGGTAGGGGGAATTCCGTTGTCTTACATACAAACGACAAACGCATAAAGTTGACATCTTAGCTCCATCGTATACTGACGGTAAGAGCTACTGGAGCCTACCGCATCCACCCTCATGAAATAGCCTAGTCCTTGGGTACGACAATTACTTGAACGTTTTTGTACTTACTGCGTATAACCACAAAGAGCTTTTCAAAATGCAAAGTTTTATTATTTTATCGATTTTAGAAAACCAATGAAAGGTTTAATAAACCTTATATTTGGCAAGAGTCACCAACTCGTGGCCGATGTGTTTGTGCGAAGTGCACATATTTCACAATACATACGCTATTAATCCGCACAATAAAAAATAGTTACTGCCTAAATTAAATAATTTATTTTACGTTTCTAATATCAATTATAAGTTCTGTAAATTACTGTGTAAGATTAATATGTTAACCTATTTTCGATAACGAATTAATAGCACTTTAAATAAATTATTACAAAGTTCTCATTTTTATCATTTATAAATCAGTAAGAAATGGCGAAATGTGGCCTCAGATATTAAATGGTTGAGAAACCTTGCCTTAAGGGTAGCGGTAACGATGTTTAAGCTCACAATTTCCTTTATGGTTCAGTAACTCGACTTGTTGTCCACAGTCCCTTTGAACTTTGCTCTGAAAATAAAGAGTACAGTTTCCATTAAACGTCATTAAAACTGAACGTTCTAACAATGACGTATTTTCTTGAAGGTTAAATACAATACAGTAATATTCTGAGATGTAATGGATGTTTCTGGGCCGACAGGTATCGAAAAACTTCATTCAATTTAGTGTTTTCTATGACAAGTTCCGTTCGTTAGCGAACATGTATAGGTACTTGTTAATTTAAGGAATGTTTCCTGGTATCGCTGTGGTATTAATAAAAAGTTTCTAGGAAC